TGTGTGTGTGTGTGTGTGTGTGTGTGTGTGTGTGTGTGTGTGTGTGTGTGTGTGTGTGTGTGTGTGTGTGTATTTCTTTCATTGTTTTAGTAAATTGAGAATGCGAGATGGTCAAACATTTTATGGTTCATACTTTAACTTTTGGGCTTAATTGAAAGTTGCTCGTTTTATTTGTTTTCATTATATGTAGCCTACAGCCTTTTGTTTAGTACCATATGAACAACTAGATATTATACTAGGCTAATAACCGGTCTTCCTACAGAAAAGTAAAAGAGAAAGTACGAGAAAGAAACAGTCTTACTAAAGCCTCTATATATAGATCCAATATTGATTATGTTTGAGGATCAACCTTTGTTAAATCAAACCAATCAATTGATCTTAACCGGTATCAAGTACACATAAATTCTAATATCTCCAGGACCACTGTAAGCAAAAGTAATCGTCAAGGCCCTAACAATACATTTAATTTTTACTTTGAAAATCTTTGTTCTCAGGGAGCTATTCGCGATAAAATGCATGCCACCAAAGATTCTCCGCAAGTGGAGAATCTTTGATGCCACGCCCACAGGTCCAAAAATAGAATAATAATTCCGTCCACTCAAGACCGACAACTTGGCCGTCACCAAAGAGGTTATAGATAGGGCTAGAGGTCTCAGCAGTGACGTCATAAGTCTAAAAATTGAGGGGCATACCGGCCATTCCGGAGAGGAATGAAAGGCCAGTCGGTGCACAGCAAAATTTTTCAATCATAGATTAATTATGCGTCTTTTGATGTTGATTTCTTTTTCTCGTGATTTGACTATCGCCAAAGTATCATTGGGAATTTTGTGATTGTTTTCCAGTCTCCAAACAACGCAAATAGTGCAGTTTACATGGTGAAACCATGTGGGTCATTTTAAAGGGTCAGGTGGACTTGATAATTTTTTGTTAGTAAAAAAATGTAATTTTATTGAAATCTTTAGCTCCAACAGAATGCCTAGACGTAATGCCGCTGACCCTATCAAGGCGCTCTGGAACCAGGTATATAAGTGACTTAATTAGAGAAGATGTTGTATAGCTGCAATTCTTAACACACCTTTTTCCAGGCTGGAGAACGGAAAAGAACCACTCGCAATGCTATTGAGAGAAAATGAAATTGACAACCAGGCATAACTACCCACCAATAAAACCGGCATTTTTTCTGTCTCATTTGCGGAACCTACGTCAAACTACATGAACAGCGCCGCAGCAGCAGCAGTTAGGGTCCATGGAAGATGAGAGGTTGTGTAGCCAAACACCATCGTCAATTGACGGCAATTTAAGAAAACATTGTGAACATTTAAGATAAAGCGGCCAATTATTGGCTATAAGTGTTGCGTTTTTAAATTTAAATGTGGTCAGCATATATGGAGCGCATCAGTAAAATATTATTCAT